TACTTACTCCATGAAAGTATGTGAACCAAAGCAACTTGGGTAAATTTCAAAAATATTGCTTTGAGTAAAAAATGACAAGTGATTCAAACAGGACTATTTATGTAAAGATTGAAAACATGTAAAACAATGCTATGTAGTTTATGTATGCATGTGTGTGTGTGTGTGTGTGTGTGTGCGCATATGAAATAAAAGTATAAGAACATTCATTGGAATGGTAAACATCCAGTTCAGGATAGTCTCCAAAGAAGAAGAATTGGAGACACAAAGGAATCATTAACTATATCTGTTATGTTTTATTTCTTCAAAATGAAAATCTAAAGCAAAATATCAAAATATTTCACTCAAAATCTCCATATCATTGTTATTAAGATTAGATAACTATATGCTTTTTTCTGGAAAAGGAGTTTATCTTAAGAAAACTGGACAGACAGAAATATAAAGCTAAAATTGGCATTTGGGGCTGATTTCTTTCCCAGATTCATTTCAAGTGCTCTTCTCCAGGTCAGAGAGCTTTTTCATTCTCTTTCGCCCTTTCAGAGATTATACTCCTTTTTATACATTTGAGGAAAATTCAATTATAATAATTTTATGACAGACCAAAATAAAAAGCTCTTGTTGTTAATAATTACAGGAAGATTAAGACGAGAATTATAACTACCTAATGAAAAACAAAAAACAAGAAAAACATTTTATTCGCTTTCAGAAACACTGGGAAATGTTTTCACATTTCAGAGGCACAATGGACCTGATCAGATCAGAGTAATGTCCTTTTGGTGACTTAATCAAGACCATTCTGTAACTTCAGCTCCCTTTCTTCTGCTCACTTTCCATCAGGGTTTTCTTAAGAATATATACTCTTTTGATCTATTATCTCCTTCACTCATACTATTTCCTGCCCAGTAGGAAATTATAAAAGCAGATCCCAAAACAAACAGTCCTCACTTCAGGATCAGTTTCTAAGGAGTACACTTAAGGAGATAGTACTAAATGATTACCTTCCAAATCTTTCCCAAAGTATTTGCCTTATAAGGATATTCCTGAAAACTTAAGAAGTCCTCAGTTCAAGCAATATCAAGGGAATATTTAGACATTTTGTTTGTTTCATATTGAGGGGGCTTTACAGGAAGCAAAGTGGACTATAATGTGGGTGGCCTCCAGGATCATAGGGCTCTCAGAGGGTTGTCAAACCCTCAAACTTGCAGCCTCAAACTAGCATCCTCCCCTTTTTCACTGACACTTGAGATATTCTCCAGATTTTAGCTCTTAAAGTTATCTGTCCCTTCTGCTCATTCCCAGAGGTTGACTTTGCATACAGTGGACATTTAGTAAATGTCCATGAGACCAAGGAGGTTGATCTTGGTCCAAGTGAATTATATTGTTTCTAGCCACAGCCTTTGTAGATAATATCCAATGAGTTTCTGTCCTTTGGAATAGGATCCCTTCTGAGGGTACCAGCTAAATTTCTGTTGGGTATGCCCTTGTTGGTCCTATATCATCATTATCTGTAGGTAGAATATAAACATCTTTCTGAATGTAAGAAAAAAAATCAGAAAAACCATGCAATAGTCCTCCCTTATCCATGGTTTTGCTTTCTGCTGTTTCAGTTACTGTGGTCAACTGCAGTCTGAAAATTTTAAGGTATTTTGAAACAGAAAAAGAGAGAAACCACATTCACATAACTTTTATTACTTATTATTGTAATTGTTGTATTTTATTATTATTTACTGTTGTTAATCTCTTGCTGTGCCTAATTTATAAATTAAACTTTATCACAAGTGTGTATATATAGGTAGAAACAGTGTATAGAGGGTTTGGTACTATCTGTGGTTTCAGGTATTCACTGGGGATCTTGAAATGCATCCCCAGCAGATAACTCTACTTATAACATTCTTACTATTTTTACTTTTACCTGTTCCTAATCTTAGTTCTCTCCTTAGTCACTAGCTGAACCATGTATACTGCAATAACATCTTCCTGTCTACATGGCCTCTCTCATGGGCTTTCCTGGTTCCACCTGACCATCTATCTACATTTTGGTGCCTTCTCTACACTGGAAAATTATTCATAATAATGGCAAACATTTACTGAGCATTTGCTTTGTGCACTGTTCTGAGTACTTTTACAAATGTTATTTATCTCATTTCATATGGATAATAATTTCAGGTACTATTATCCCCTGTTGCACAGATGAGAAAATAAAAGCACAAGAGAATATTTAATCTGTAAAAATTTCACTTGATATTAATACTTCTGTGAGAAGCAAAGATGAAATTGTGTCAAAGAGTTTGTAACAAGTGAAGTGCTAATATTGTACTATTGTCTACTTTATAATAAGGCTAAGTGACTATTTGTTGAATGAAATAATGAATGAGTAAATATTATTACTGAGATGTACCATGTCTTATGTAGGTAGAGTCCCCAGAATAATGTAAAATGTAAATATGCCAAGCACTGTGTCTGGAACTCAGTAGTTACGCCTACCAACATATACTATTTTCCTTTTTCTCCTTCTCTTTTTCTCTAATTTCACAATCAAAATGACAGTCTGATTGAATATCTTTAAAAGGTCATGATGAATTATTCTGTAATATTTGAAATGTTATGCTCAGAAAGGTCAAACCTTTTTTTTCGGTATGAAGTGTCACATAGATTTGTTTTTCCTGGGCACTTTTTCTTTTTTTAAAGAAAAGATGGCAAGAAATTTAGAGCAGGGTGCCCTCTTGAGGAAATTTTAGCACCTTCCTTGTCAAGAGCTGGCACTGAATGAAATGAGAAGTCCTGGTAAATGATGTACATATTAATGAAGCTCAAATAAATGAATATTGAAAAGAATAATCAAATACCAGATATTTGAGAATTAAGATTCTTAACTATTATGATCTAATATAGCAACTATAAATAAAAATTTTTAAGTAAAAACAAAAACATCTGGAAGATACTTCACTTCTTCTTTTTCACTCAGTCCTTCAAGTGATATTTATTACTTGAAGCCAGGACCTATTTGAGCTAGGAACTATACTGACCACAGTGGTTGATAAAACATAGTCTCTCCCTTCATGGAGCTCACAGGTTATAAGGCGGGGTCACAGTGAAGGGAAGCGAATGAAAGTATTAATATATGCAACTACAAACTGAGAAAAGTACTATGAAGAAAATGAAAAGGTGCAAAATAAGTTCTGCTAAGGGTCATCAAGGACAGCCTCTCTGAGAGGAAATAATGGAGCTGAGTCATAGTCTTAGGGACTCTCTTTCCTAGCCTTGGTCTTTCTTATTATCTCTTCTTATCTCTGCCCTTGTAGGCAAGCAGGCAAGCCTCATTTATCCTTCTGCACCTCATTCTAGCTCCAGATAGTCCCGTTGGCCTTACAGCCTCACAGTCTTCGCAGTGGGTGGTCTGCTTGGTTAACAATGTCTTCCTTACTAATATCGATAGCCCCTTATAGTAGAACATCAATGTATTATAATACTAAAGGGCCTTACTTCTAACAAGGTTAAGGATGTGGAGGGTCTCCGAAGATGAAAAGGACAAATAACCCTGCCTACCATTATGCTTTGAATAGGGACGGATAAATAGGCATGAAGTAGGCAGAGAAATTGATCATGCAATACGGTTTGGTCATGTTAACCTTGAAATATCTGTGGTACCAAGCAAACAGAAGTCTTCAACCAGAATTGGAAGTGAGGATCTCAGACAAGAGCTCGAAAGAACAATTTTAGAGAGTTTTGTTTTGTTTTGTTTTGTTTCAAAGCTCACATATTACACAGACTTACTGTGTAATGGCTGGCCTGGATCCTCAACACTGTATTGCTGTAGCCCTTGTAGCTAAGCTTCTTTCTCCAGGTGGGTTGATTCTACCAGGTTGGAGGATTTAAGTACTGTGGAGAGTATTGCCTGAAAATGCATGGGCCTACAATGACTTCTGGGTTGGTGTTTAGGTGACCATATGAGATCCAAACTTTCAATAAGCAGCTTCTACCTTAGTTGTACCCATAAATATCTCTCTTCAAGAAAACTAACCTGTCCCCTCCTTATTAACCAAAGGACCATGTACAAAACAAAGGGTTACCCTTTGAATCTCAGTTCCCTGACCTATAAATTGGGATTTAACATCTTTGCTTATTTCACAAGGATATGATAATTTGAATATAAATAATAGGTACTATATTGGTTGGAATGTGCTGGAACTAATATA